CCTTAAAACACTGAACTAGGAGAACTACTTACTTTGTATCTTACACATAATGGATCAAAGTTGCACAGGAGTTCTGAAGCTAGTAACTCAAAGCTTCCTAAAGGCTTTAAATTTACCCTCATTAATATAAGTTATCTTGTAGAGGACCCATTAAATATACTCAAAAGTAAATCTGTACAACAGCATAATCTGTCATTTACACTTAACTAATCCTTACTTCTCACCTTTCTAAATCTAATCCTTTTTGTAGCAAACACCCTTACTACCAGTGTCACTTGCTACTGAGACTTTATTGTTATAAGATCTATCAAATTAAATCAAATAATCAGTTTAAAACATTTGTCAAAGTATATCAAAGTCACCTCTGCATGCACTCCTTTAAAAAGCAGAAGGCATTCTTACCTAAACAGAAAAGATTGACAGAAATCATTATTGGTCTTTCTATAGAACTTGCAGTGTTCTGACAGAGTAAACCCTATTGTAATAAACTAGTAAACATGGAGTAAGTCTTACACATGTGGAAGAGGATTTTATACTTGAGAGCATTCAAAAGCACTGCATACCCTTGTTTTCATTCCTAACATCTCTTCACTACAGGTCATACTTGACTCACTTTGGTAAGAACATCATGAGTAACATAAGGGCTCAGAATTCAGAACTACTTTCTCTATTCATGATACACCCATTTTTCCAAGCATTTTGCCATTTGAACACAGACACTATTGAAATAATTTGTCCTCCTAAAAAGCATCCTGCAAAAACAGTAGCATATTCACAATTGCATAACCACGTGCTTCAGCAGTACCCTACAGACTGATACCATACCTTTTATGGGAAGGCCAAATGCCAGGAGGACAGCGTTTCATACTGAACATATAAACTGCAGCTTCAGCAGTAGTGAAGAGACGACAGAAACACAGAAAAGAACAAACTACAACAGCAGACGCTGCTCTTCCATCCTACAAAAAAAAAATTGTAACTTTTTAATTAAACCTAGTGGAAAAAGCATTACAGAAGTTACTGAAGAACATGCCGTCTCCTTATTTAATGTAATGAAGTCCAAAGTCTACTGTGATCATTAGATTTGAAGTTTGTATCTGAATGTGAAATGTTTTCATTTGACTTCCACACAATACAAAAGACACTACACATTATCTGCTTGCTCAAATGTGAATACTTGCTTTAGCTTAACACTGTTTGAAATTTTAACTTCATGTTTACTACCTTACTATCACTAATACCCATTTTTCCTGGCTGCTACCTGAAACCCAAGTTCAGTGCTATTTTTGGCTGATAACCATGGACTTCTGCTACAAGAAGTCCTAAAATTCAGAAGAACTAAGCCACACTAAACTCTTCTGTCTGAGTAAAACTGTGTGAGATTAATAGCTTGCCATGGAGCTAAGAGAATGAAATTAAAACACTGAACCTCCTTCTGCCGGGACCATGGCTACTCAGTGTCCCAGATTCAGCCCTGTATTACAGAAGACTGAAGATTCAGAAGAGGTAACGGTTGACAGAACAGGACCTCTCAAGTTTTTTTTTGCTAGCAACATGGAACAGATTTTTTTGTGGTCATTTGGTATATGAGCATGGAAGTGGGGAAGAAGGAAATGTTTTTCCTCAACTTGTTTTAACAGGCATTTCCTTCAAAGCCAGGCTTCTATTCTAACCATTACTTAGATAAATGAGAAGGTCTGCCAGCACCTTAAGAGCCAGATCTTTAAAGAGCAGTTCAGCAAATCAATATTATTACTGCTGGTGTAACTAACAAGCCCAATGATTTCCACAAGTCACTAAACTAGTCTGTGATTCTATGGGCTGGACCCTGCCTTTCAGTTAAATTTCACACAGATATAACAAAAACATGGTCCCTACCCTGAGATGCCTGCACTTAGGACAAAACATTAATTAATACAAGGGAAGAATGAAACAACACTGATCAGCATGACAAGCAGTGACCTGTGTACACTTGCATTACAAAGCCACTTCGAAATTAAAGCACCACACCGAGGGGAGAAAAATCATTGTACAAAGTCAGCAAGTCACAGCAAACCCTTTGCAACTGTGGCATGAAGTCAGAGGACAACCTTACAAGACTTTAAAGATCTCTTTACAACAAGTAATACAGCATTCAAAATAAAGGGCATCTTATTGATTAGTAAACAAATCTGATGACAGAACCTTGCACTTCAGAAAGAAGCTTGATAAGTTGCAGAAGAGGAGCAAAGCAAAAGAAACACTCCCATACAGGGATGAGACAGTCAACATTTCAGTTTTTCCTAGTATGTTTTTACAAGGATGATGGATCTTGGCTACAAAAATAAACAGTCCTCAGGCATAAATGATCATGAAGGCAGCAATAAAAAACAATGATTGGAAAAAGCTAGATTTTGAGCATAAGTTTTTTCCCAAAGCTTCAAAAAGCTAGATAGAGGAGTTTTGTGTCTAGACTATTTTGAAAAGGAATAACCTTCAAAAAACAAATTAAACATAACTTTTCCGAGTGTGTGTATAATTATCTTAACTTGGTTCATTTAAACACAAGTCAAATACAGCTATCTGAAGGAAGCACACTTCAAGAGCTCCAGCATATCTGGTTGCAAGCCTCCTTGCCATTAAGTTCCACCAAGATGATCTTGTACTCACACCTTCTTAAAGCAGTGAAAGTTTTCAAGGATGACTATCACTGCACGACCCCAAATAATTACACAGAACAAAGCATTACTGCAGATGTCCAGGAGTTACTCCAGCCGCTGGCATATGTGCTACAGTCTTGTGATATCAACAGAAGAGGATGCCAGTTAAAAACAGATCCCAGTCATTGCCAGTCCAGAAAGAGTTAACTGTAGCTGACATGGGGAGCTGCCATTTAAACCTTGTTTTCAACTGCTTGTTCTCACCTGGATCACTCAAATTACAAAGTAAAAATTTAACAATTCACTCCATTATTGCAAACCTCCACAGTGAAGATCAGAAGACCAGGAAGCCCTACCTGGTTCTGAATCCCAGCTACCTAGAGGTAGTTTCACCTTCACAAGAAGCAACTCTCATGTTCTGTTATCCAAGCAAGCGTATTAGACTAAAACATTCTATCTCTACCAGATAAATCATTTGTTTCAACCTAGACTTCCTAGCTTCTAAATCTACAAAAATTTCCAGTTAGATGAATCCAAAGCTAGATTGCAGCTGTAATTCATTTCTAGTAATTCTGGTGTATGCTCTTCACATCACATCTGGCATGCACCTGTAAATATACAAGCTTCCCTCACACCTGTGGAAAAGGAATGAGTTAGGTACCTTAAAGGAAACACTTCAAGGGAAAGATGTTACAAAAAGTGGTGCTAAATCATCACATCTGCTTCTTACCTACTTGACCAGCAATCATGTGATACTGAGACACTATAAGTATCACTTCAATATAGAATTAGATTCTGAACCTCACAGCAGCACTGAAAATCCCATCAGTTTTCAGGAGCTGGCATTAACTGTTTTTTTTTTTTCCCTTGCAAAACTCTGTTTAAGTACACTTTGCCAGATTACCAAATCCTCTTTTAGACTGACAGTGATATTCTATATAGAGTACTATACCATATCAAAGGACTGGTTATGAATGCTTTCCAGCATAAGTATTGTAACAACTGTCATGTTTCTCTCTTTTTACTGTGCAGGAAAATAAGAATGTCAAAATTTCACCTGCAATTCTCTTACACAAATGTAACAGTAACCTCATGTTTTCAAATCTTGAACATCGTAACTGTTCTTTAAATTCATTTCCTCCACCCACCCCCCCATGTTTGACATGAGGTGGCTCTTTATCAAGAATTTTATTGCTTTTGTGGGTTATATCAAGGTTAATGATACCTTACAGAACAGTGGAAGTTACACAGCAACCTGCTGCCAAGAAAAGCAAGTTCCACCAAAAATCTCATGGTCAGTTTCTGCAATTCTGTGGATACACATTACATTCTAAATGGATAGTAGTGGAAAATGCAGCACACACCTAGCTGTCACTCAGAAAACATGAACAAAAAAATAGAGCAAACACTGAAATAGTAGAGCAGATTCTTTCTTCCAAAGGCTACTTTGCCTTAATCCCTCCTATATACCACCTTCTATGCTACATGCAAGAAAGCATTATCCTTCTACTTTGCCTAAGGAGAAAATTTATGCAAATAACTTTCCTAAAGACATAGCGGGATGGAATTGCCCCCAGGCCCCACAGTAAAGCAAGCCAGTAATATTCACAAACCGAGCAGATATTAGCAACCTTATTCACAATTTAAAGCTAGATTGAGCAAAGCACTTCAGACTTAAACCAATTTCTTACAAGGCAGTGCACAATGCAAACATTTTTCTGGTCTTGTTTCAGCCATAAATGCATGTTCTTGCATATGCTGTAAAGATTCTGAAGGTTTGGTGCTCGTCTTGCTGGCCAGCCACATTCAGAAACCTGCAAGGAGACAGCAGAGGTGAGAAACAAGATTAGTCACATACATTTGCATAGCATCAGCTGTGTATATAAGAGGCAATTTTATACTTTAATGCCACCTTCAGGCAGAAATTAAGCAAGATGCTTAAGAAAGGTAGTCTCACACAGTGTAAGCACCACTTTATAGGATGAAGTGCAATAAAACTCCAGTTCTGTCTACAATCTGCTGCACTAGGAGCATCAACAACTCAGATTACTATCTGAAATTTTCTTAGAGCAAGGAATAAAGTAAAACAGCTTTCAACTTGATTTGTGCACATATTCTTAAGCAAAAAAAAA